CACAAACACACACACACACACACACACACACATACACATACACACACACACACACACACACACATACACACACATTCAATGTTCCACCGAGAAATACATTTTTAAAATTCGTTTGAGAAAAGCCATAGGAGCCTTCTACAACCTCAATAAAATTTGGGAAAAAATAAGACGCTAAACTCAAAGTTAAAGCTGCGACTGCACAACTCAAAAAGTCAATAATCTGGTATAGTTATGAGTTAAGCCTAAAGGGGACTTTGACTACAAAATGCCTGCGGAAAATGCGCAACATTTATTGGGAAGAAATCATTTCGAACAAAGGGAAAGACCCTAACATGGCGCTCATATGACCTTACGCAATTGCGAGCGCCGTAAAACCTCTTCTAAAACAAAGACCCCAACAAGAGGTGCTGATATGCACCATAATCGTTAATAATGCAAAAGTTCAATGCGATAGATCGGCCATATCCCACGTCTTCCGAACACGAGAATTTCTCATTAGGCTGTTTGTTGGAAAATCGATGGGAAAAGAGGCAGGGGACGACCTGAAAGGAACTGCACAGGGAAAGCCATTCAATATAATAAATAGCGCAAAATCTGAAACTAGAAGGCAAGAAAGGGGTGATGTCCCCGCCTTAGCTGCTCTATGTAAGCCTAAGTTTGCGTGTGTATGTTTGAGTGATAATATTATATAAGAACGTACGTGTGTGTACGTGTTTGTGTATGCCGGTATACGTATGTGTGTGCTTTACTTTTGTGAGTAATTTGGACTGAATGTGAATGCGTATGCGAGTGTGTGTTGTTGAGTTTGTGTATGTGTGTGTGTGTGTGTGTGTGTGTGTGTGTGTGTGTGTGTGTGTGTGTGAGAGAGAGAGAGAGAGAGAGAGAGAGAGAGAGAGAGAGAGAGAGAGAGAGAGAGAGAGAGAGAGAGTTTGTGAACGCGTGTTTATGTCTGCTTGTTAATATGCGTAGATATATCTGCAAGTGGTTTTGTTTTTTTTAATCAGGAGGGGGGGGGGGCGGTATAATTTTCTTCTATTTATTTAATCTGTCTGACTCGAACAGAAATTACTGTTCTTCAGATATTTATAGTGGGTGGCTGGTGACTGCTCTGGTGTGGTTGCTCCTTCTTTCCTATCAAATTTCTATTATCCTTGTCTCACCTCCTTCTTTTCTTTGTATTCCATTCTCTTGTAACACTTTCTATTCTTAGGCACTTGCAAGCCCTATTTTCCTATTCTTAATGCAAGTATAGTAAAACTCTTACTAAAGCTACTAAAACACTATTACCTTAATGTACTGATGAAGCGAAGCCCTAAACAGATCGTGGCCGTAGATGCCTTGCTCCCCAGTCCGTCTGTCCGCTGTGACCTTTGTAGACTGGCCAGCTGGCATTGTGATGGGGTCAGAGGTCACTTTACGTGTCACACACGCGCGCACAACTTACATTCCATTATAAGATTAATAATAATATACAGTCACCGAAGGCAGTTCGTTCCGGTCTGCTGAACTTGAATGCAGAGAGGGATCAAATAATGATATTTATTATGGGCTAAAAATAATAATAATGTAGCATTTATAATAGTAATAGTGCACATTCCCGTTCAACAGAAAGTTATGGCATTGATTGGTTCGAACTACAGAGCTTCTTCTAGACTGTCAAGGGTGTATCCTTTTAGGATCAGACTTCGGATAAGCACAGGTACGCACCGTTCAGTTCCCCATACCAGTACACTCAAGAGAGCTGACGCGCGATCCATTCTTTGAAATCACTTGGATTTCCTATGATTCAAATAGCAGAATATCAGTGAGTTACAATCAGAACGCATAGTACCTATCTAGCTTACTTTTAATGTTTATTAATTACTGTTCATTTGTATTATGAAACGCATGTGATAGTGAGCCTGTCTGTGAGTGCAAGTATACTACAGTATTGTTATGGTTATGTGCACAGATGTGTGTGGAAGGGAGGATGTGTGAGAGGGTATGTGTATGTGTATGGGTGTGCACATGTGTGAGCGTGTGTGTATGTGTGTGTGTGTGTGTGTGTGTATCTGTGTGTATCTGATAGCGTGCGTGAGTATATATATATATATATATATATATATATATATATATATATATATATATATATATATATATATGTGTGTGTGTGTGTGTGTGTGTGTGTGTGTGTGTGTGTGTGTGTGTGTGTGTGTGTGTACATGATGAAACACTAAAGCAATGTGCCAGGATCTGGACAATAAAGATGTATCTTACCTTACCTTATCTAATCATTACATTTGTAAGCCTTTCCGTGAAGTTCGAAGTTGACCAGGAAATGAAACACAGATAGTGGGTGTTAGGTTTGGTGGACGCTCTGGTGTGGTTTTCTCCTTCTTTCTAATCAAACACTCGGCTATCGTCTTTATCTATCCTCCTTTTCTTCGTATGTTACTCTCATGTAACACTTCTATTCATCGACATTTATGTAATTTATTTGTATTGCGTTCCGTAAAACTCTTTTACTAAAACTAAAACACTATTACCATCGATCATTTGTCATATGTGATGATGCCTATCACCTCTAACCTTCGGCATTTAAGATGATATTGAGACCTATTTGTGTTGCAAGTGCCGTAAAACTCATACTTAGCTTAAAACTAAAACTAATCACACATAAAAACCCAGGATAATCTTATGTTTGTCACGCGGCATAAGACACGATCCAAATGTTGGATGAAAACACGCACAGTCGTCTTATCTTCTGAAAGATCGACGAGGTCAGAATGAACTAAAGTCTACTGGAAGTTGGAAGGATAATCACGTACATGTATGTGCTTCGCTTTGACTAAACAACGTGTGGCCTATCAAGCGTAGCAGTCAGCAATAATTGAGCATGCAGATTAAACACAATGGAAGAAATGCCGGCGGTAAGGGCTCAGCCAAGCCACTGATACACACACAGTACGCACACATGCGCACGCGCGCGCACACACACACACACACACACACACACACACACACACACATACACACACACACACACACACACGACACACACACGACACACATACACAGAGAGAAAGCGGGTTAGAGAGAAAGAGAGAAAGAAAGAAAGAGAGGGAGAGGGAGAGGGAGAGGGAGAGAGAGAGAGAGAGAGAGAGAGAGAGAGAGAGAGAGAGAGAGAGAGAGAGAAAGGGGGGAGGGGGGGGGAGTCAAGGACGCACGTTATCGAGTCAAGTTACGGTGCAGTTTGGACTTGCAAGAATGCATAATTCACGTGGCTCGTCCGAATCATCGATTTGTATTTTAATATCCTAGATCGTACACCAACGTAACCTATTTCCGGTTCACTAAGTAGAGTGACCAATTAATTGACTGAATTTGAGCCAGATAAAGAGCAATTTATTTATTTATTTATTTATTTA